ATAAAAGTATAAATTATATATTCATCTATTAAATTTTTAATTTTTATCTATCATTAAATTTAAAGTAAATATTTAAATTAAATTATTTTTAATTAATATTTTATAATTTTTTAATTAAAATTTATATATTTATCTTTTAACTAAATTAATTATAATTTTTTTTTTAATTTAAGGGCAAAATAGTAATATTACATAATTATCAATTAAAAAATTTATTTTTATCTATCACATCAATCAATTCACTCACAAACTTTCACAAACTTTCTCTACACTTTCCACTCACTTTCCCTTAATCCAAACAACCTCACTTTCCACTCACTTTCCCTTCAAATCTTTCCTTTTCCACTCCCCCTTTTCCATCTTCAAATCCAAACAAACCCTTAATGTTGGTTAATTTTGAGCTCACCAGGATTAATTGAACAAAATTGTTGCATTCCACCGATGTGTACCCAAAAATATCCACCATATGATGATGTATATACGTGGTCAATGCTTGGCCTTTTTTTTTAGACTTCATTTTATTTGTATTTTGATATTTCATATCCTAAGAATATAACTCTTTAAAAAATTAATTAGTTTTTTCAATATCAACGTCCCTGGTATTATCAGTAGTGAAATTAATTTAGGGGCTTGTAGCCTATAAATTATCTCACAGTCCATAAATGTAGTTGGCTAAATCACACACTTTCCGAAGGGCTGAAAGCCAATTTGATCGCTCATGGGTCATGGCTGTGTCTGTGTGGATAGTCTCCTTCTGTGTGTAAGTGCCACATTTTCTCTGCTATTTACATGTCTGTTTGTTGGTTTAATTAATTAATTCCTGTTGGATTCTCTCCCTGTGTACTTTTTTTTTTTATATATATAGAAATTATAATGCCAGCAATAGAATTTGATACTAGAATTTTAAATATATTATCTAAACTCTATCATTGTTAGGCTGATTTTAATCTAGTAGTTCAAAATTATCTATTTATATTTTTTTAACATGTTTTTCTTTGTAATCTATACTAATAATATATATATTTTTTGATTTGATATCTACTTTTATCTTCTTTATTTTACTCTTATAATTTTACATAATTTCTAATAATCATACAAATTATTAAGATAATTTTCTTATTTTCTCTCTCTCTCTTTTAATGAAGATATGTAGTGTTTTTTTTCACTAGTAATAATAATGATAATAATTTCTATCTGTGTTCTCAATTTTTCCTTTATAGTATATCGGTAGAAAAAAGACGTACTTAGTATTTTTTATTTTTTAAAAATTAAAAATAAAATAGAGATAATAAAATAAGTGATTTTAAGTGATTATTCAAAAAGAATATGGGAAATTATTTATTTTACATTCTTAACATTTAAGAAGTATAATAATCTATTTAAAAAAATAAAAATGAAAAAAAATTACACACTTTATATTGCCATGATAATATGTATAGATTATAACTCTGAATTGTGTGACGTTTAATTACATCCAAAAATAGATATTTGATCTAACCAATATATTATGAACCTGTGAGCATTACCATGCACAGCTCTGTTTTTGCTTAGTAGTTTGCACAACACAAATTTCAGTTATGGCAGTGCAAACCATTCATAAATATTAATATTTTCGTGGATTATACAATTGAAAATGTCCAACTTTGGTCAATGAAACGAAAAAAAAATCCCTTGAATCAAACCATAGTTTGAAAATTATACAACAGGATAATAAAAATACAAAAAGAGAGAAAGAGATGTAAATAATTCTACTATAGTGTAAGAAATGTAAAAGAAAAGCAAGGGTGAAAAAGATTGAAGACACAATTTAGGTGCAGATTTTAAGACACTCTCTTGATTAATGTTCTTCTCATATCAAAATTAAAGATTTATCTAAAAAATCAGCAATGACCTTAAATATTGATTTTAATTGTACAGATTGCACAGTTTAATATTAACGAACACCACAAAAAGTACATAAAGAATTGTACTTAACTACTTTCGTTCAAAAACTAAAATCCAAAATTATAATCCATGTGTAAATGTAATTAATTTTCTACGGTTCTACCACTTTTCATTACTTTATGGTGAGCTTAAACTTGTCTTAAAATACGAGTTTTGGTGTTATAGTAAATGAGGCACTATTATTAAGGATTGTCTAGCTAACTGATTTAAACAATCCCATATTTTTAGTGCATATAAACAATAAAATACGTCTAACTTCTTAACCTAAATTTTTTAGTGCCAAGTTGGGACTAAACATTAAAAAAGAAAAAAAAATTGTTAATGTTCACATAAAGCTAAAGAAAATACGTTGATGATCACATAAGCTCCTCGAAGGTGGATAAGGTAAAAACCGTTTAACTTGAACAGGTCAGGGTAAAATGGTGAAGATGTCCATTCTTAGGTTAAGCTTTTGTGGATTTATAGAAGAGACGTGATGAAAACAGATTTAACTATAGTTAGTTAAAGTCAAGACTAATCCAATATAGAAAACACAACAGATTTGTTTAATTGATTCAGTCAAGAAAATCGTGGAAAATATGTTGCCCTTGTCCAACATATAAGATTGTGCGTGTAAGCAATATTAGCAAGGTAGTCATACTAAGTTTGGATTATGATCAAGTTTGGTCTGAACACATAAATATATGTAGTCCTTTTTTCTTTTTGAAGAGTAAGACATAAGGTCTGTTTTATTAGCTAAAAGTCATGGTTCTAAGATACAAATATAGTTGTTGTGTACTTTATTTATAAAAGGGTTTTTTATTTAATAAATTATGGGATAACTTTTTTTATCCAAATATAAAAACATTCATTATCATAGTGATGAACTAATAACACCTTTAACCTCTATCATCATCGTCCAATAGTAATATTACTATAACCGTCATTATCTATTATCATTATCGTTAATTATTATTGTTGTTGTAATTCTTACCCTAATTTTTACTCGTTATTATTATGTCCTTATTATTATTGTTGTCGTTATAACTATTATTATTATCAACATCACTACCAATGTTATATCAACCTCGTATAATTCTTCTTACTATCATTTTAATTAAGATAATAAAAATTCATTTTAAATATTAATATTAAAGAGGATATAATAATATATTTAATATTATTTTTATTTGTGTTGTTGAATATCTATCAAACAATGTATAGAATAAGAAGTTGTCCAATAACTTTACTATTTATTTATCTTATATTATTCTTTGTGTTTTATACCTTAATTCGTATCAAACACGTTCATATAATTTTAGGATACAACAATAATTCCCAAGAAAAAATAATAATAAGATAAGGAAGAGAATAGTTTGAACTAAACGACATGCAACTACCTTACTCTCTGGATCCTTTCTACACGAGACGAGACGAAAAATGAACAGAAAAAAGAAAGCTACACACGTACTGGCTGTCTTTAATTATCTCGTATAGTCTCCGTCTCTGGAAGTAAGTACAACAAAGAATTGATTCACTTTTCTTTAACACTCTCTCCACACGTTTTGATTTCTTTAACATGGATTTGATTTGGAACCCACCCCTTCACGAGGCTTACAAGATCCTCTTGAGCAAGACTCAAAACAGTAACGAAGAGAATGGTTTTGATGAGCTCTTGGCGGTGGAGGAGTGCGAGGTGCCAGTGATCGATGTGAGCCGTTTGGAAGAGAGTGATGAAGTGCGGAGGGAAGAGTGCAAGTGTGAGATATTTAAGGCTTGTCAAGAATGGGGTTTGTTTCAGGTGGTGAAGCATGGGATTTCAAATGGTATTTTAAGAGGGTTGAGGGTTGAGCAGGAGAAGATATTTAAGCAACCCTTTGAAAAGAAGAGCAAAGAGAACACGTTCTTCAACTTTTCCTCTGGTAGCTACCGTTGGGGATCACCCAATGCAACATGCATAAGGCAGTTATCTTGGTCAGAAGCTTTTCATATTCCTTTAACTGATATACTAATGCCTTCCGCCGGATCCAACACTTTTAGGTAACACAATTCCCCTCTTTAATTTTTAAATTTGGAATGTTTTTTTGCTTTGTAAATTAGGTTTTGATGAATCGTGGTTAATATATACCAGTTTGAAAACAATTCAAATGGATCTGAATGAATCTATAACTGGTTTGATTTATATTAAGAAAAAATTGTAATCCATCTATTTTGTAAAATTATTTTGATTATTTTATTCATTTTTATATAGTAAATTGATTCCATCCGATTTAATTTTTTAAAAAATCTTATATATATAATTATATAATGTGCAACACATCGATTTAATTTTAAAAAATTTGATATATATATTTTTAAAAAATTAATTGATCAACCAATCAATTTTTATGAAATGGATTGGCTTGATTTGCTTTAAATTTTTCAAAAATTTGATACATCTATTAACAAGTTATTCTTCTCCATATAATAATTCAAATACGAACATATATACTTTTTTCATTGAACAAAGAGTTTAGGGCAATTTTACTTAAAAAGTGATTATAATAATTAAAACAAAAATTGCTCTCCATCTATTTTGTTTCACTTAATTTTGGCAAACAAGAAATGTTTTAACTTTGGAAACGTACATGGATTCAAGATGCACACTTTTTTTAAAGTCGATCCCTGCCATGAAAGTGTGTTTATTTTAAATTTTGATAAAAAATATTTTATTTAAAACAATTCAGGTTAAAAAGTAATTTATATGTTTTGGAATAATACGTTTAAAGTAATTTAAGAAAAACATTTTTATATAAAAAAGGTAAAATAACTCTCGATTTATTCCCAAATGAATTTTATTCTCTACTACTTCTGAAATCATCTCTATTTTACTAAACACAAATGCAATGGTTAGAAGAATATTAAACACAATTTTATTAATCAAAATTATTTGATTTAGAGATTAAATTTAATGATTATTAAATAACTTCAAACTCATAAATTTAAACAATAATAAATAAATTAAAATAACTCACTTTCATAAATTTACAATAAAAACTTAAAAAATTATATTATTTCAATCTATCAAGTTCATCAAATAAAAGTAAATTAACTAAAATATATATTTCAATTTCATATAAATTATAATAAAACTATGAAAATCAATAAAATTTCAATAATCACATATCTCTTTAAGCAAAAAAAAATATGAAGAGAGATCAAATGAATTTATTGCAACTTTTATCAACTATTACACTACTTAATAACTTTATAATAATTAATTATTTTTTAAAACCAATATTAGATGAAACTTTTTTAACTCCAATATTATATACAAAATTTTATATTAATAAAAAATATTTAAACTTATAAATCAATCATTAAATTAAAAAATCACATTTAATATAGCATCATCAAATATTACAACAGTTAATAAAAATTATATTAATGTCATTAAATTTCTTCCTAAAAAATATAAATAATTTTATTATAACAAACATTTAGGGATACACTTAATCTCAATCCGTCATTATTTATCTACGGATATGAGTCCATTTAAAATATTCACAAATAGTGATTTAAATATTAATTTCATATCCTTGCAAATTTTATGTGCTGTTACAGCCCTCTCTAAACGGATAAGTGTTTAGGTGAGAATGAATGTGGTTCCGTGGGAAGACAAAATCATAGATACCTAACATGTGGATGACATCTAATTAAGGAGAAAGCGAAAAAAATAGTGAAAAGTGTTACTAGATATATATGTGACATATTAAAGTTACAAAATAATAGTGTAGAATATCATTACTCTTATAGTGTGGTTAGAAGAAAAATTTGAATGAAGTAATTTATTTTTTATTTTTTTTATAAGAATTTCAAATGTTAAGATAAAATATTTTATTTGAATGAAAAATTTAGAGAAAATTTGAAATTTAAATATATGTAATATTTTAAATAATATAATTTTAAATTAAAAAAAGGTAAAAATATTTTTTAATATATTTTTTCTTTCTTTTCGATCACTTATATATAAAATATCAATGATTTCTAATTATTAAGTATTGAAAATATTTTTTAATTATTAAATATCATCTAATATTAATTTTTAAAACTATTAAATATTTAAAAATTAATTAATACTTTTTTTATAAAATTTAATCTTAAAATATCTCTTTACATATAAAATTAATTTTATTATAGCAAAAATTAAGTTATCATATTCAAATTAAGAATTTAAAATTAAAATTTTTAAATTTATTTATTTAAATAAAATATTTTAAAAAAATATTAAAAATTAAAATTAAAGTAATTCAAATTTTCAAGAATTTCGAAAATTCCTCTTTCAAACATACTTTTGAGAAATGCAAGTCATTTCAAGAAGTTAATTAAATAAAAAATTTAGTCGATTCATTCAAAAATTCATGGACAAAAATGTTTTGGAGGATTATTCGGCCGAAATGATTAAATTAAAAATAATTAATAAAAATTTATCTAATTTTTATTTTATTTATTTATTTATCTCTCCTTTTCTTATAAATATATATATGTATTATTTTTTATCTGCTTCTTTTTTATCTTACCAAATATATATAATATTATTATTTATTATGTATTTTTTTAACCAAATAATCAAAATACCATTAATATTTCTCACTTATTTTATAATATTATTTTTACTCTATCTTTTTTTTTTTATCTGTTTTATTTTTCACATATTTCTTTCCTCCCACCAAACACACAATTAATATTAAGAGCTTAGCTTGGTTAATTACCTTGAACTTGAACGTGTAGCAATGTCAAAAAGGTTTGCGGTGTCATCCACCGTCCAGAGTTTTTGCCACGAATTTACTGTCTCCATTAATGTCGTCCGTTCACACTCGCAAACCCACTGTCAAGAAGCTGCCACGTCGTGGGCCGACTACGTTCCTTCCGCACTTTCTTTCTCCCACCTATTATTAGCATGTTTTTGAACTCTCTGTGTCATTTAGAAGTAAGGCTGAAAGTGAAAGTTTAGTTAGTTCACTTCTATTATAAAGATTTATGAGAAATAATTTACTTCATGATTTATTAGCAATTATTTTTGGACTCTACTAATTGTTTGCGAATGAAGCCAAATGTAATGTATTAATTTGCAGCTGGAGAATCCAAGAGTTTGGTAGCCAAGTTTCCATCCTGGCGCAAACACTAGCTGATATCTTGGCTCACAAAATGGGACACAAGTGCAGTTTCTTTGAGGAGAATTGTTTGGCCAGCACCTGTTATATTCGATTGAATCGATACCCTCCCTGCCCCTTCCCTTCTCAGGTTCACGGATTGATGCCACATACAGATACTGCTTTCCTCACCATCTTACATCAAGATCAGGTTAGAGGTTTGCAAATGGTCAAAGATGGAAAATGGATTTCAGTCAAACCAAACCCTGATGCTCTTTTCATCATCATCGGTGACTTGTTCCAGGTACCTTATTCTTCTTATTATCAAGGGATGTTTCTTTTACGTTGTTCAGTATTTAGACAATTGCTAATCTGCTATATGTGTTGTTTATTTTATGGAGGCATGGAGCAATGGAGTTTACAAGAGTGTTGAGCACCGAGTTGTGACCAATCCAAAATTAGAGAGGTTCTCTATGGCGTATTTCTTTTGCCCCTCTGATGATACACTCATAGAGAGTTGCACAGAGCCGTCGCTGTACAACAAATTTAGTTTCGGGGAATATAGACAACAAGTTCGAGATGATGTTCACAACTTTGGCTACAAAATTGGCCTACCAAACTTTCTCACACGTACAGGGACAACATTCGATGCACCACTTCAACATTCCAACGTCTAGTTTATGCATTTATGTGAAATTCAAAAAGAAAAAACAACATCTGCCTCTTTGCTTTTGTTATGTTTCCTAATTCTGATGTTTTAAATATAATAATTTAAAGTAACTTGAATATTTTTTTTAGTGTTACAAATTAAACGAGTTTTTATTTTGGTTTCTCTATATCTTTTTTTTTTTGTTTTTTATTCATCTAAAATGTGAAATTGATTTTTTAGTATCTATTATAATGTGATTATTTTTAATTAAGTATTTATTTATTAAAAAATTAAAGTGATCATCTCAAGTGTTATACATTATGTCACCCCTTTAAAAAAATATTAGATCCCCTTAAAATGATTGTTAGGAACAAAAATAATAACTTTACAAATTTTAAAAGAATGAGAAAAAAAAATTTATAGAAAAAAATCAAAACTCTCTTATTTAATTAGACTAAAAATATATTTAACTATTAAAATCATCATCAAAATAATTTTTAGTAAATTTAACAATAAAAAGAAAGCTTTATTTTGTTTTTTATTTAGGACCACATTTTGGTGTTCCTTTTCCCCAATCATATTGTATATAGACTATATAGTACAGAGGTTGATGATATATACACCTCTTTTTTTTTTTTTTTTTTTTTTTTTTTTTATAAGTACACCTCTTTTTTTTTTTTAAAAAATATTATAATTTTTTTTTAAAATTTAATTTTACACTTTTAACTTTCAATTTGTTACTTTTTTTCTTCTTATTTACACACTTTTTTTTTCTCTTTTAATTTTCACATGTTACTAAAATAGGTGGAGTGGAGGAAAAATAAGGAGATGCATGTAAAAATTGAAAAAAGGAGGAAAGAAGTGTGAAAAAAAGTACTAAATTAAATGTTATGAATGTAAAATTAAAAAATTTAAAACAAAAAATTAAAAATATTTTAAAATTTTAATTTTTTTTAGGAGGAGGTGTACTTATAGAAAAAGGGAGGTGTATATATCATGAACCTAGTACAGATCCAGAATAAGAAAGACAAAGAGTCTTGGGCTTTCGGCCCAAAAATACAAGGGTTTGAAATAGGCTAGTAGTCTAGATGGCTGTACAGAAGCAACCACCCAGTGGTGGGCAGAACTGGTAGTTTCATTTGGGCCAAATCAAGCCCATAAGAAGATCTTGTTGCAGTCGAAACAAAGACTCATGATATATACACCTCCTTCTTTTTATAAGTACACCTTTTTTTTTTTTTTTAAATTATAAAATATTATAATTTTTTTTAAAAAAATATAATTTTACACTTTCAACTTTCAATTTGTTACTTTCTTCTTCTTATTCACACATTTTTTTTTTCTTTCAATTTTCACATGCTACCAAAATAGGTGGGGTGAAGAAAAAATAAGGGAATGTATGTAAAAATTGAAAAAAGAAGAAAAGATATGTAAAAAAAGAATAATTTAAGAACAATAAACTAATTACTTCTATTTTATTATTTAATAGAAATATTAATGATTAAAATATAATAATTATTAAAAATATATGTATATTATACCAAAATTTATTTTGAACAAAAAATTATTTATTAAAAAAACTTAAGTCTTACATTAACTAGAAATAATATAATTAGTATATAAGTAGATAATAACTTTCACTTTACAAGTGAGTTTTATAGGGTTGAGTTAAACCTATAACTCTCTTTTCTAAGTTGGTATCAGATCACTCACCATTACCAAGCTCAATAAGAAAATTAAAAAATATATAAATAGAGAACAATTTTTATCTTATAAGTTTTATATCGACTAGAAATAAAGTAATTAAAAAGTATATAAATTATGAATTATTTCTTAAAGCAATAGCAAAAAATATTAAATACTAGTAAAAAATACTAAAAGAATTTATATATTTTTCTTGATTATTATAAAAGTTTTTATTAATATATAAAATAATTGTAAATAAATATTTTATCGATAATGATTAATATGAAAATATTGATAAAAAGATTTTATAACTATTTTTATTGTTATTAAAAATAATATTTAATATTATTAAAAATTGATTTTGTTGTAATTGATTGGACAAAGGACATAGCTCCCACTCTTGGCAGGATTGATCAAACAAGTGGACTGTTACCCTCTAATCTGTGGATTCGTTAAATGTAGTACGGATGGCGGTGCTAGAGGGTCGTCGGTGCCTATGAGGGTCTTTTTTGTGATAGTAATATTATAGAGCGTACAGTTTTTGAGGGATTCATCTCATATATTGGTATTGAATCAGCCTTTAAGTGGAGCTGCTTGCAGTCAAGTTGACCATCGAGCGTGCACATGTGGATGGTTGACGACTTGGCGTAATCTCTGGTTGGAATACGATTCTAAATTAGTACTGGATTCTTTTCATAATGTTAATGTTGTTCCGTCGGTTGTCCACTGCAGGTGGAAACAATGCCTATACCTTTCTTCCCATATGAATTTTCGCTCATCCCATATTTTTTGGATAGGTAAACAGTGTGCAAATAAGTTAGTTGAGTATAAGGTTCATTTTATGCGCTGAGATATTATTTTAGTGAGTTTGATATTATATTATAATTCAAAATTTTGAATAATATAGTAGGTTTGATATTATATTATAATTTAAAATTTTAAGATATTAGATAAATAAAAGAGGTGCATTTTTTGTAACAAGCAAATAGAATTCACTGACCATTTATTTTTTACGTGTAGTGCTTCCTATTTACTTTGACAGCTTTGTAACAATTAGTTTGAGATACAAATAGTACCCCCAGAACAAAGTAAACAATACTTTACCAATCATATAGGGCTTTGAAAAAAGAAAAAAACAATCAAAATATGGAATACGATCTGGTTTATCATGATTTGGAATATCTGGAAGTGGAGAAACGACTGGTTAACAATAAAAAAGAAGATATAAATGACATTTTGGAGATGGTTCAAATTAGAGTCTTGCACTGTCTTAAAGCAAAATGTAAAGGATTTACTTTCTCTATCCACAATTGGTGTTCAAATTCTATTCCATGCTTTAATTCTCTTAAAGACTCTTAATTATTTGAAAACTAATTTGTTCTATGTCTAAGGTACTTTATTTTTGTTAATGTAAAAGGTACTTTCTAAGTATAACTATGGAGGTATAAGCTAAGTAATTCACAGTAAGTTCTTATTTAAGCTTGTTTTGTGACTTTTTACATATGTAGTTGAGTATCTCTGGTGCTTCCATATATATATATATATATTTTTTATGTAATTGTGCTAGTCTGGCAAATTCAAGGAAACATCGCACCGAGCAGGTGAAGGAAAAAAATAATTGCAGGGAATACTCTAAACCCATAGTTGACTGCAGAGTCATTTGGATTCCAAAAGATTTTGACTCAATGTTTGGTTGAGTTGGGTCGTCTATGCTAGCCATTGCAATATATAAAGTGCAAAAAGCATAGCATAGTAGTGGTACTGCTACCCAAGATTAAGCAATAAGCATGGCTTCCTTCAAGCTTGTCTACTACCTCTTTACCCTTATCAGCTTTATCAATTTCGTAACCAATAAAGCACAGGACGACCTTGGTTTTATGGACTACTTTTGTTCTGAGAACCTAACCACACCAAACAGCCCGTTCCAGTCAAACGTGAGGAGCCTTCTCTCTGACTTATCCTCCCACGCCACCGCTAATAACAATCCATACTACAACACCACAGTCGCCACTACAAACCACTCCCACACAGCCTATGGAATGTTCTTCTGCTCGGGTGATGTCCCCCCTCGCCATTGTACCCAATGCGTCGCTAACGCAACCCAACAAATACTCTCACTCTCATATTCGCATCCAAATTGTTCCTTGTCCACAGATGCATATCTTAAGTACGATGACTGCATGATTCGCTTTTCCAACCGTTCTTTCTTCTCCACCGTTGACATAACTCAACTCGGAGGTTCTTCATGCAGCGGTTTTAATGAGGAAAACTTGACGAGTTTAGTTTCCAAAACGATGAAGGAAGCGGCAGATAAGGCAGCGATTTCTCCTATTGGTGTCAAGAAGTACGCCACAAAGCAAGCAAGGGTGTATGGATTTAAGACCCTTTACTGTGAGGCTCAGTGCACACCAGACCTGTCACCCCAAGATTGCAAAAAATGTCTAAATGTTGCTCAAGAGAACTGCCAAGGATACTTTTTACCACGCACTGGTTTGCTCAGCTGTAAGATGGGCTGCGATTGGTACCCATTCTATCGCCCCAGTACCGCTGCGGCACCAACACAACCCGTTCCGCTCACAAATCCTTCCAATACAGACTCACAACATTCTACTTATCTTTCCAAAAATTGTTCCACCATCATCATCACCGACCCCACTTTTCAATCGAGTCTCATAGCCCTCCTCTCTTACTTTTCTTCCAACTCCACTACTACCAAAAACGGTTTCTTCGAGACCAAAGTCCACACTCTCACTGGTTTCTTCATGTGCTTTGGGGACTTTTCCCCCACTCTCTGTCACCAATGTGTCCTAAATGCAACGCAAACAATATCCTCGCAGTGCCCCTCCTCCAAAGAGGCTATCATTTGGTACAATCACTGTTTGCTTCATTATTCCGATCGCCCATCTCTCTCCGCACTAGATAAAAGTCCTGCATATAAGCACTTGAATATCGTCAACTATACTTCAAACCCTAACCAGCTGCAAAGCTTCTTCACTTGGACTTTTGCCAAGACTTTATATCCACTGCAGTATGACACAGACGGCAGTAGCAGTACCATTAAGAATTATGCAAAAAAACAAGTAAAACTGAATGATCGCCAAACTCTCCATATTCTTGTTCAATGCACACCAGACCAGCATAATTCGGATTGCAGGAGCTGTATAGAAAACATTTTTAACAACGAAATTCCATGGTGTTGTATGGAGATTCCAGAGGGAAGAGTACTGTATCCAAAATGCTATATGATGTTCGGATTGTCCCCGTTTGATGGATATACTCCCCAAATTCAGGAGCTCAGGCCAGCTACAGGTGACCTTCTCATTCAGTCAATATTTATACACCTACTTCACCTATTTATTCAACTTTCTAACTTATTTAGCCAATCCTTTTAAGAGTATATAATTAATTGTAATATAATATCAGCAATTCAAATTTATTATAAAACTGCTTTTCATGATCTATGATTTGAATGCAATGTGAAACAATATCTGTAGTTTAGCGCATTATTTGAATTAATTTCACGCCTTAATATATAAACTGTTTCTATTTATGTTATTAGACTGAGGTATTGTGCAGTTTTTTTCTTACAGAAGATACTATGCGGTATGTTAAAATTATGTTTAAAGAAAATTTATAAATAAAAAAATTAACAAATTTAGAATGTGTTATCCACAGAGTTAATATTACTTCATAATAATAATAATAATATAGTTATAAAAAGAAAATACCATCAGATAAGTAACTGTATATTATAATTTTAAAAAAGTTATTGAACCCTAACACTGTATAATAGCTATTTTCATGAATTAAACTCGGCTCTCTGAATAAAGTTATCTAATAAAAATTCATTACTAAAATCCATTAAACTCGAATATATATTTCTGATTATTTTTAACCGAATAGTACTAATATTTGCTTTTAATATAATTATGATAGTATAACTTTAATATACGATTCATTGTTTTAATTATTTGATGTAAACATTTAATCTTATTGTGGTGTCGCTATTAATTTATAATGCAGGAAATAATACAGGTTGGGCACGAACAATAATCTTAATTGGTATTGGTGTCCTCATCGTTGCTTCGACGACACTCCTCTCCTTTTGGTGCTACTTGCGAAGGACAAAAACAAGAAAAAATAATTACAAGATACTTCTCAGAAAAAACTGTACGTATTGTGATTATAGTTAAATAAAGTTTTTCAATCCATAAGTATTAATTTATAAATTTTAAGAAATTTGAAAAATTAGTACCAAAAATTAAACTTTTTTTTTTATCTAGTTGGTGAAGAAAGTACTATCGTAGAGGGATTGCAATATGATTTGACTACAATTAAAGCAGCAACAAATAATTTTTCACACGAAAATAAGATTGGTAAAGGTGGATTTGGAGAAGTTTATAAGGTGAGAAATTAAATGTGAGTTTTTTTTTCTTTCAATCATGTTTTCAACACAAATGAGTAATTATTTATTTTTTAGGGTATTCTTGATGATGGACAACATATAGCTGTAAAGAGGCTTTCAACTCATTCTAAACAAGGTTCAATTGAATTCGTGAATGAGGTTTTATTAATAGCCAAGCTACAACACAAAAATCTTGTGGCATTGATAGGTTTTTGCCTTGAAGAGCAAGAAAAAATTCTTATTTATGAATTCATGCCGAATGGGAGCCTTGATTACCTTTTATATGGTTGGATACTTTTGACCTTACTCCTTTTAATTAGTTAAAGTGATTTATACACCATTTGTATTTTATTAGTACATTATACCTTAAATATAACTTAAGTTATTAATTTCAAAATATTTTTCAATTGTTTCTCACATTCATTAAAAAACTTTTACAGGTATTCAACAACAAAAGTTAAGTTGGTCTGAACGCTACAAAATTATAGAAGGAACTGCTTTAGGAATTCTTTACTTACATGAGTATTCACGACTTAAAGTTATACATCGTGATCTTAAACCTAGTAATATTTTATTAGATAAAAATATGAACCCAAAAATATCAGATTTTGGCATGGCTAGAATTGTTGAAATTGATCAAGATCGTGGAAACACTAATAGAATTGTTGGAACATAGTAAGTTTTTCTCACTACAAAATATTTTCATTTTGATTTCACTTTTGTAGATTTTATGTTTGAACTAACACATAATTTTTTATAGTGGTTATATGTCACCAGAATATGCAATGCTTGGAGAATTTTCTGAGAAATCAGATGTTTTTAGTTTTGGTGTCATGATTCTTGAGATTATTACTGGAAAAAAGAATGTACAATTCTATGATTCACACACTCTAATGGAAGGCCTAATAGCTTATGTAAGTGTAACATTTTAGATGTTTTCAATAATTATATATATATATATATATATATATATACATTGAAATTAATTTTTGATTATATAGTTGTGATAATATTAATATTTATTTTGATTAACTATAACAGGTTTGGAGACAATGGAAGAATAAAGACCTATTAAGCATCTTGGACTCACACATAAAAGAAATTTATTCACAAGAGGAAGTTTTTCAATGCATTCATATTGGTTTATTATGTGTTCAAGAAAATCCAAATATTAGACCTACAATGGCCACAATTATTTCATATCTTAATAATTACTCACTTGAATTGCCATTTCCACAAAAACCATCATTTTTCTTGTCCAATCATAGAATGGATCAAGATACAACTAGACAACAAGAATCAAGTTCCAACCAAACTACTAATGATTTCAAGCTATTTTCTATCAATGAAATGTCCATGAGTAACATTTATCCTCGTTAATTTATTTGATAAAATTATCTTCTTATGTTTCTAATGTATGATAAACATTGACTCTCACTTGTATATGTTGGTAGAGATTATTATGATTTTCTTTTATAGTCTTATTATCCAATAATATTGTCTGATTACAAGCGAATAACTCTTAAATAATTTAACAAAGCAAAGAAAATATTTAGGATGCAAAACAAGATTTTGTAGGATCATGAGTATAGAAGTAGCAAAGTTGGGTAATTCACACGTTTTGCCCCACCCCACCATGGCTTAGATATACCAACTTCCTCTTCACAAATCATCTCTTGGTGATTATTGTAGTTTTAGTATCTAGCATCACTATAACAAAATTTATTATTAATAATAATAATTTAAGAACAATAAACTAATTACTTCTATTTTATTATTTAATAGAAATATTAATGATTAAAATATAATAATTATTAAAAATATATGTATATTATACCAAAATTTATTTTGAACAAAAAATTATTTATTAAAAAAACTTAAGTCTTACATTAACTAGAAATAATATAATTAGTATATAAGTAGATAATAACTTTCACTTTACAAGTGAGTTTTATAGGGTTGAGTTAAACCTATAACTCTCTTTTCTAAGTTGGTATCAGATCACTCACCATTACCAAGCTCAATAAGAAAATTAAAAAATATATAAATAGAGAACAATTTTTATCTTATAAGTTTTATATCGACTAGAAATAAAGTAATTAAAAAGTATATAAATTATGAATTATTTCTTAAAGCAATAGCAAAAAATATTAAATACTAGTAAAAAATACTAAAAGAATTTATATATTTTTCTTGATTATTATAAAAGTTTTTATTAATATATAAAATAATTGTAAATAAATATTTTATCGATAATGATTAATATGAAAATATTGATAAAAAGATTTTATAACTATTTTTATTGTTATTAAAAATAATATTTAATATTATTAAAAATTGATTTTGTTGTAATTGATTGGACAAAGGACATAGCTCCCACTCTTGGCAGGATTGATCAAACAAGTGGACTGTTACCCTCTAATCTGTGGATTCGTTAAATGTAGTACGGATGGCGGTGCTAGAGGGGCGTCGGTGCCTATGAGGGTCTTTTTTGTGATAGGATTATCTTTAATATATATAATTAATACTATATAATGAAAATGCTATTTTATATGAATCTTGATAAAATATTACATTAATTATAATAATTAAATAATATCTTAATATTTGTGTTTAATTTTATTATACTTATATATAGAGATGAGAGATAGATAGATAGGTAAATAGATGGATGGATGTATAGATATAAATATTGTTTTTATTTTGATATATAACTTTAAAAATATCTTGTAAAAAAATCATGAAAATATTTTACTAAAGATATATAATTAATTTTAACAAAATTTATAGTAACTTTTAGAATAATAGTTAAATGTGTAAATTAAAATATAAATTATTAAAGTATAATATGTTTGAATTTGTTAATAAAAAAATATTTATTTTAACATCCGAATGGAGGATGGTGTAATGTTTATATTTATGAGATGATGTTAGAGTAAAGCGTGTTATGATGATAATTCTTTTAATAGAAGTTAGCAAAATTTTAATAAAAATTAGAAAAAATAAATAAAATATCATATATTAAAATTTGTGGATAAAAAATTATCATTTTTAATAATAAAAGAAATATAATATTTATATCTCTTAAAAAAAATAAAATAATTTCCTCTATTTTAAAGTTGGGTGATTATAATTACGCCTTTTTTTATTTTAGTTAGATTTGAAATACATTGTAAAATAGGCGACAAGCAAAAATCCCAAGGATTAGATGTAGATGTATTCCTAACCAAGCAAATGATTAATCTTGAAGAGTCCGAAAATTCCAGTATCTTGCAGTTGCTATTCCCAATCTTATCTATATCATCTATCCGACTTTCTCTATATGCATCGTGTCTTTTTGATATATTTTAAAGTAAAAAATTATCATCCATTGAACTTTGATGGATCGATGATATCATATGGAAAACTCCTACAAGACTTTTAGGAAAAACAAGCATCTAATGCCGGTATTTAGTGTGTGTTTAGAAAAAGTTATCTTTAGCGTTTACAATTTAGGGTTTAACCTTAATTTTATAGTAATTATCTTATTGTTTATACATTTTATGTCTTGAAAGTAGAAACTCTCACTTTAAAGTCTTGAAATGAAAAATCAAGCATACAGTTACTAGTTGTGGTTAGATTTGGTTTTGTTTTTAGATAAAAAGAAAATCAAATTAAATATAAAAAGATTATATCCTAGCTTAATTTTTTTTAATTTAAATATATTATTTTTTTCGTAGTTTACAATTTTTATATATAGATTAAGGAGAATAATAAATTTATTATTTTTGTTATACTATTTTACTAAAACAACACATTTCTTTAATAAATGAATTATTTCTAATTATGATGATCAAATAATTTATGGAAAGATAAATTAAGAAAAAAATAATTAATATAATATTGAAAAGTGATAACATCATTCATTTTTGTACATTTTTCAAATGTTAAAATTGTACTGCAGTAATTTTGAAGTGGAATAAATAGTAAATTTAAACTAAATTAAAATGACTTTTTATAGTTTTTTTGTATATTTTTTTTGGTATAGAAATGATTTTTTACAGATTGGTTTAACATTTCTTAATTTTTACTTTTTTTTTTATATGACATATAAATTTACTTTTAATTTTGATAACTAAAAATTAAAATTTTAATAATTATCTAAATCATAATAATGACATATAAATAACCATAAATAGTATAATAAAAAAATTGATTATAACAATATTACAAACATTTTTTTATAAAAAAAATCCATTATAGATAATTTTCAATCAATTAGTTACATGTTACGAATATCTCATAAACTCATAAACAAGTAATTATATAAACTAAATTTTAAAACAAATTTATTAATTTACTTTTGTTCTTCTTGCTCTTACCTCTAGCCTTGAGTTGAGATCGATAACCATTGTCACTTCGAGTTTGGGAGCGAGCCTATTAATTTACTATATTCTTATCAACTCAAACAATTGATATTAATATAAAATAAAATTTTAAATAAATATATTATATTATTATAAATTTACATAAAATTCGTTATTAAATAAGATCAAGTGATAAAAAATATTATTTTAAATAAGTAATCATTCAAGTACTAACTTATTATTATTTTTATGTGACTAGATTGGATTAGATTAAAAGTAAAAAATACAAAACTTGTATAATATCAAATTTTAATTATTATTTTTATGTGACTAGATCGGATTAGATTAAAAGTAAAAAATACAAAACTTGTACAATATCAAATTTTAATTAAAATAAATTTGATTTAAATATTAAAAAAATTTAATCCAAGGGACTAAGGGAGTGATTTAAACCGTTCATGGTTTCCCATGACAAATAGTGTGATTTCTTTCATCATTATAAAAATATTAAAAGAACAACTAAGCGAATAAAAATATCATAAAAATAATAAAACTTATTTTTATTATTACACGATACGCTTGAGTGGTGATAGATAGAAGGCATGCCTCGTTCATTTTGGAATGAATCTTCTCCATATATTAAGATGGGCAAAGCCGCAAAGGCAGGGATTGAAATAAGTTACCATGTTGGAGAGGTCTATGACTTCAATTAAGATATCAACATCGTTGACGTAAGTGTTTGCGTCTCTTAATCAAAATATTTTTTTATTTTAAATATAAAATAAATTATATTAAAAAATATATATTTATCTTTTACATATTCACGATTTTTTATAGAAATTAATTACTATTTTTGAAAAATAATACATTATATCATTACCATGATTAAAAAACTTTAGATTAAGATTTTATTAAAATTTATTTAGTTAAAGTCATTTATAAAACTCATTAAGTTAATGGTCTGGCCTATTTAAATAGAAAAAAAAATATCTCTCATATCAATTTTTTTTTTGGTAAAATATCAAATTTATTATAATATATTAAATATATATTTTTTAAATATTAAACTTTCTAACTTGTATAAAAAAAATGGAACTTACAA